ACCTGCTATAAAGTATTTTAGATGATAACACTAAGCCTATGCTCTTATACTTCACTGCAATATTCTATTAAAATAGTCTTGTGTTTGAGGATACTTGCTTAGTAAACATGACCACCTTCAATTAAAATTCTCTTTAAATACGCTATTTTACATATATAAAAATTCTTTATAGAATTCATCAAATTAACTTTCAAGTTTATTTTACAAATTTTTGCGAATATTTTCCTAAATATGAAAATGTATAAAAAATAATACATAGTGTGGAGTTTTAAAGTAATAGCACTGCCTAATACTAGTTTAGCATCAGAAAATAAAACTACTAGTGATATATTATTGTTGTATTAAAAAAAACTTAATAAACCATTTATACAACTTAGTAGTCTCATTATCTGATAATGCTTGAGCTACTAATCGACTCATCATATTATTATCAACAACTATTAAAAGAGTAAGATATATATCAAACCAGTTGGTTTGATATATATTATCTGTTTAGACAATATCAATATAACGTAACAGATATTGTTGCTATATTGGTGATATCAAAACAATCCTGTTAGCCAGTTATTATATAGGTTTATCTTTATATTAATGATCCAATTAGGGTCTTGATATTTTAATTGCATCAAATACTTAATAAATTGTTGTGCTTCTTTCTGATGCTGATTTAATAGTATTCAAAACTTTTGAACAGCATTATAAAGATTATGTTTATGAAATATTTGGTTAAGAAATTCAGAAGTTAAAAGAGATAATATTTGCTTAGTTCCTATTCTTCTATTTGTTACATAGAATTTTATTTTTTCTAAAATCTTAGATAATAACTTTCTATATTTTGAAGCAAATAATACAGTATTTGGTTATATTAGATGATTGTATTTTTCAATTATATTTGTAATAACTACATTAGCTGATATTATAGATTTTGATAAATGTATATACTATAAGCAAGCTACTTTTACTAAATCTTGGTTACATTGCTGAGAAAGATCTATAACCTGATTACTAATAGCTACTTCTGAATGTATATATTCAAATATACAATATCTGACTTCACTCTTATCATCAGTTGCTATTTTTTTTTTGCATAAAGAGAAACTCTCAGTCTTGGCATAGCTATTGAAACATTTTTTAGCTAAATTCTATGTTAAAAACATATCTCCTGCTGAGATATGAATGCTCTTTTCATCACTTAATTCTGTTTCTGTAAGTAAATCAACTATTATACTTGTCTCAGAAGTTACTAATTCTATATTTATCAAAGGAATATTTGTAGATTCTAATAAACTTATATCTAGCACATCTAAAAAAAAAGAGAAAAGCTTTAAAATATTTGTATTTTAACTGTAAAAACAATCCTATACTCACCTTCTATACTTCTTCTGTAAGCAAATCAAGAAGCATACACTAAATAAATATATAATGAAAGTACAGTAACAAAACACTAAAAGAATTCACAACACATTGCTAAAAAAACTAAAAATAAATTTACAACAACGAAAACACAGGTACAAATGAAATCAAACAACAGTTACAAAAAAAATAAACAAACAAGCAAGAAAATTAGTAATAAAAATAAGTTATATATGTTATAATGATTATAATAAAAGAAGCACAGTAACAAGGTACTAAAAAATGTATGACGCATTACTAAAGAAATTAAAAAAACTAATTCACAACAATGAAACACAAGTATAAACAAAATAAAAATATAGTTATGAGCAAAATAAGTAAGCAAAGTAAATAGATCAGTAGTAATAATAAAATACTATAATTGTAAGCAATAAGCAAAGACAAGTGAATAAAATTAAAATTAATCATTATAAATAATCATATACATATAATATAATTACATGTAATCTATAGTGATCATCACTATGGGTGATTTTAATTATATTTCTATTTTAAAAATCAATTTATTTTATAAATAAAATTCAGTAATTGTTTAATTTAAATTTTTAAAAATATTAATTTTTTAATAATATAATACTTAGCTATATTTAATATAGTCAGACCCCTCTAAATATATCCTCCCTAAATGCAGCACTTCTCTAAATACACGATATGAGCTCGGCCTATGATGGGATCTATAGATAAATACATGTTCTTTATTCTATAAATATACACTATTTTTTTAGCTTGTTTATAACAAACTCTTTCTATAAATATATTCATGTGATTAATAACCAATCAAATCTATTTGGTTTTTTGATCTTAAATCATAATTACAATAATCTACATTTAAATATATTGATATTATTATTGCTCAATCAGATAACTTTATTTTTTACAAAAAAAAATATATAAAAATTCTGTTTGCTATTATATACAGGTTTTATAGTCTCTATACCAAAATATTTAAATGATTATATATCACCTATCTAAGACCATATATAATATATCATGCAACAAGAAGAAATTTTATAGCTATTAGTGGTGTAGGTATTTAATAGCATGAATATTATTAAGATATAGGTTCTTGCACTGCTATAGAGTCTAGTTATCGAAATATAAAATTATTATGCTGTCTATAGTAGCTACAAAGCCTAAATACCAAACAGAAGGTTTTTGCACTGTTTACAGCTACTGCAGAGTTTAAATAGCAAATATAAAATCCTTTACTTTCTATAGCAGCCGCAGAACCTAAATATCAAAAGTGGAATTCTTGTGCTATCTACAGCAGCAGAAGCCTAATTATCAGATATAAAATTCTTATTTACTAATAGCAGCTACAGGATCTAATAGTACTAACAAATATCTTGCTAAACAAGTATACTGGTTTTAAAAAGTTACTGAGAAATGGGCAGAAGGGGTTAAACAATAAAGCTAGCTTTTACTCCAAAGTGAGAAATAGCAAAAAAAAAAATAATCTTTTCTACTAACCAAAGGCTCCTTAAATATATTACTAGTTATATATTCAGAACCATATGATTATACTTTACTTTCCTTATCTATTCTAATGTAATTCACATTTTAATAACCATATTGACCAAAAAATACTTGAATCAACAAGATACCATAAGACTATACACAAATATCTATAAGAGTCATCTATATAAAGTTATCTGATTTCGCAATAATAATTGTTTTATCACTTTGTTAACAAGCTTCTCAGTTGTTTAAAATCTTGAAGAACTAAAGATGGTGAATAGTTATATCCTGAAGAACTACAATTCTATAAATATATTATCCCGAATGTAATAATCCCAAATAATAGTATTTTATAAACTATCATAAATACAAAAATATTGATATTTATGTTACGTTCGAAATTATTATATTTGAGATTATTATATTAGAGATTATGTATTTACAGGATTGTGATTCTTCAGGATTAAATTATTTAAATTTTGTTTTTCAGGATTTAGTTTTCAGATTAATTAATTTTGAAATATTGTTTTTTCTAAATTTTAAGCGCTAAAGTATCAAGATCTAGATCTGTGTATCACATGATAGCAGATTTATCACAATATTATTGGCTATTCTCTAATTGCAGTCCCTCCTAAATACACACTTTGAAGGTGGTCCTGACAACATGCATTTAGGGGGTCTAACTGTAGTTTTAATTATTTCAATCATATTTAATTATTTTTAGAATAATTCAAAATATTTATTATCTGTAAAACAGTAATATATTTTGCAAATTTTTCAAATTATTCTAAATATCTTATCCCTTAAACTATAGGCTTTTCCAGGCAAATTTGCCTAGAAAATTATCATAAATATAG